CTTCTCCTGTAAACATTTACTAAAAAAGAGAAGAAAAAAACTTTTTTATTAATCTGTATGAAATTGCCTGCATAGTTATTTTTAGTAGTGATACTTAGTTAAAGTCAAATTCAGTTCAATTTTTTGTAGCTTGCCAGTACCATGGAGTGTGTCAGATGTATATTTAGAAGCTCTTTGTCATTTTTACCCCTTAAAAAGATCTAGTGTAACACATACATCAAAATCTTTTTGATGAACTGACGATGTAGACTGATTTCCGACTCAAGGGGCCCCCTGACAGTCATAACTTATGAGTTTTTCTTACAAGTTCAACCCCCCCCCCAATACACCTGGGGTTTAGTTATTACTATATTCACATGAAGCACTAAACTTATATGGATCATTCAGTATTAAATAGTAAAGCTGCTGCTGTGTGAAAGCCAAAAATGGGGGGAAAAAAAAAGTAGCAAAGAAAAATCAGAGAAGTCAGTAAGTGAATCTGCATTAAGGATTAGATTCTGGGAAATGGGGCAGGAAATGAAGGAGAGGATGAAAATAAAATTGTCATGCTCTCTGATAAACAGTGACTTGACAAAAGGCTTTTCTCAATCCTCTGAATATTCCATTGTAAGTAGTTCATTTGATTTTCAAATTGGCCTGATGCATAATCATGTAATGTTTTTTTTTAAATTACTTTACCTTTCTTTCCGGTACAACTTAATACATGCATATTTATGTGGTAAAAGAAATTATTTATATATACTCCAAGTGATTTTTACTTTTACATCGCCCAACATTGTATAGATACAAAAAATTTATAAGAGACGATCACTGCCTTCAATACAATATTTGCAGTAAGCGCTGGTAACAAATGCTTAAAAAAATATTAATTACAATATTTGTAATCTAAAAACAGCATTCCAACAGGCTTGCCGCCTCTAGGAAATAAATGAGAATAAAAAGACGGATTCAAAACTTTATCAAAATTGCTAAAACTGCACCAACACAATATAAATATGAAGGAGAAAAAAAAATAAATGAAATAATTTACATCACAGTCAGAGTTGCTTGTAGTTAAGAGTACATGTAATCTCCCTCAATCTCCTCTCAAATTTTAAGATAATGGCAGTTAGAATTAACCAAGTTGAACTGTGGTAGCCTCTTTGTAGTGAAGACCCCCTGCCACTACTGAAGAAAATGCTTCCAAGAGGCATTATTTGAGAAAAGTTTTTTCATTAAAAAACTGTAGCATCGTATACATCCCTCTTTAATACAAATCTATACAATTTTTATGTACAAGACATTATGCTGCTTTTAAATAATGCTAAGAAGGTTAAAAAATATAACTATTTACAAATAAATATGAAAATTAAAACCTTGCGACGAGTTGATAAGCCAATTCATGCACAAAATAAAAAAATGCTCCTATTAAAAGAACTACAGTATACTAATATATTATCTGGAATTTAGCTTATTCTGTATATACACTGGGTACATCACCCACCTACATTTTTCATAAACTACACATGACTAACACTTTGAATAAAAATTTGGAATTTTGTTTATTCAAAGATTAAAATGTCCCACTCTCACAATATGCAGCAACTACTTTTCATTCAGAAGAATTTGCAATATAGCAAAACTGCTTCCTATAAATCCTATATGCACTTTTGTAGTGACCATGTTTGTGCAATGACTTAATTTCTTTATACAAACTCAATGCATCAAAGTGTGCGCTGTAGTCTGGCATCTCTAAAAAAAAAAAATTATAAATTCATTTTGCATTACATTTACAAGTTTTAACCTCGAGCTCTTGTCAGTAGAGAAAATCACTATGATGTTAGGTTTTTCTGGCATTATACATTTGGGCAATACCTGGTGATATATGATATTAAAATTTCAGGTTTGAAAAAGTGCTGTAATTACAGAAATCACGTTACTGTATTTGCAAAATAATATTTACAGCATTACCATACCATATTAAAAAACTAGGAAAGTCTTTTTGTAATTTTTAAACAAATGTTCATTGTTTATTCATGAACAGTACTTAAATGGACCATATCAGCTGCCAAAATAAAAAAAATTGGTACTAATAATAGTTTTAAACTAACAAACTGGCAGTTTGTATAGTTAAGAGGATAAAAAAAAATACATGCAGGCAATTTTGGCCAATGTTGCTGGGCTGGGTTTGTGGGGATGGTGCAAGCCTTGCAGTATTCCAGGTCATTAGGAATAAAGGAAAAAAAAAAGCCCTAGTGTTTCGTAGAAGAAATTATATTAATGTCGATAGCATAGAATACGAGTGGATTTTAACCCTTAAACGGTCCAAACGTAATATATGTTCACTCGGGGTAGTGCCCCAAATTTTTTGAGGAAAAAAGAAATCTTTTCTTTTTTAAAAAGGAAAAAAAAAAGCATATGGTACCCAGGCATCCCCAGTTATTTTAATATGGAACACAGTGAGTGCACACACCCATTCTCTCATGTCTAGGGGACTCAGGCTTATTTTGGCAATGTTGAATGAATGACAAAGAAAACGTATATATACGTTTGGGGGCTACGCGCGGTGAACGTATTTTTAACGTTTGGACCGTTTAAGGGTTAACGATTAAATGCTAAACGCAATGAAAAGGTAAATAAAATATATTTGTTTCATAAAGCTATAAGGAGGGAATGCAGGCAAACTTGAGACTTGCAAAACACTGGAAGCAAAATGTTATTCAGCGAACTAATGATGCCATCAGAACGTTGTTAAAAAAAGTGATGAAAAATGTAAGGATCCACAGGGAACATTAGTAAATGAATGACTTGTGAAATGAATACGAGGCTCACTGTAATTATGGTGAAGTTTCTAAAATTTATAGAATTAGCTTCAAACGGCTAATAAGTGTGAAGTGACAAAATGTGTAATCCGTTAAATATATGTGAACTAACACTCGTTCAGAAAGTAAAAAATTTTAAAGATCAAAAAGTTTGAGTAGTTATTGCACTGGCCTAGCAGGTTTCAGAGTTTGATTCTCAATGAGGGTCAAGTATTATGTATTTATTTGGTTTAAACTAATTTCCAAAGTATAATCACATCCCCCGGGGGGTTACAAAAACCCATCTGGCACACACATTTTCAGCCACACAAGGGAGGGTATAGCTTGCTATTCCCTACAAATGTTTGGGTTTGTGTACAAATCAGTGAATGGGTTGGACTACAGCTATACCTTGTTATTCAATGCAGTAATTCCCTAGGTAAGAAAATGGGTAGATTAAAAAATACTATTTTAGTCTGTCAATATTGTGTTAGTACCTAAATAAAGATAAAAGAAAATTCTTCAAAGTGAGCATTTTACCATAATGAACAGCTAAGGAATTACACATAGTATGCTACTATAATTAATGAGGCATTCACAGACACCAAGTGTTTTAAAAAGCACTGATCAACACAAATTATAATTATTTATACAATAACTGTAATGAGAGCTCTTATTGTGGATGGTATGAGCATTTAGTAATGTTCCTCAGCATTAATGAGGTCTGTCAGAACTGTCACAACAATTACTGTAAGTGTGTTTCATTATACAGCTCGGTTATCTTACACCTCATCTTGTGGTGAATTAAATTTCACCTAGAAATCTGACTAAAAATTACCTCATAGATTTAAAGGGGTTATATAATGCCCTCTTAATATAAAAAATCATAGAAAAGCTTTGAGAATTATTGTACAGTACCTGTATATTACTAGAAAACAGTCTGCTCATCTCAATTACATTATGAGACAATCTTAACTAAAAGTCATCAGATCAGAAAGTAATAAATGAGGAATGATACCATCAACGTAATTTAAAATAAAATTCCGAGCTGGCATTACACTAAATTATTATTATTTTAGCTGGAAAACTTGAGTAATCTTTAATTTAGTTAAGCTAAGCTTTTGTTAAAAGCAGCTTTGAGATTATAATCAGGGCATGCCAATGGTAAAATATACCATAAAAGAAAATAAAGGTGACAAAATAAAAGCCCGCAATATGGCTATTGGCGATGAAGCCTCGCACACCAATGGCACATCACACGTCTACAGTGCAGGGCTTACAGGAAGTAAACAGAAAAAAGTAATATTTTCAGAGGACGTTAGAATGAATATTTCCGAGTGTTAACATATTGAGAGCAATGAAGTTGAAGGCGATATAGATGCAATTTAAGCTAAGGCATGATTAGTAAAAAAAAAACAGCGACCAAAACAGCAAGGGTGCATAAACCAAAATGTACAAATTATATACCAGTACTGGAGCAACAGACTGAGGGAGAAATTAGAGTAAAGATATAGAGTGGCATTAGAAAGCATGGAGTTTTCTGGAATGTATGGAATATTTGGCAGAGATTATGCAAGAACCATCCTATTTTTAGTACAGAAAATAGCAAATAAACAGATGCATACAGAATGTTAATTAAAGCAAACCAAAAGCACACATTGACCGCTTCATCTCAAATTTCATGAAGCATATTTACGAGCAACATTTGTTAAGCCTTAAGAATTAAGATTTATGACCTAATTCTTGCAAGACACTTTAATACACATTTGGAAATTGTCACAAAGTTTTACTCCATTTTCATTTAGCATGAAAAGTTCAGCACATGGTATTCACTAAAATAAAGTCCTTGTTGATACACTATAACATCATGGCATGAGGTCAATGTCTGGCAATCCACAATAATAATAATAATAATAATAATAATAATAATAATAATAATAATAATAATATAATCAAATTATGCGCTAAACCCGAAAGGGTCCTGGCATTTCGCAACATGGCTGACAGTTCCATCTTTTAGTTAACACAAAGGACTGGATGTAATGCAAAAAACAGCTGGCTAATTCATTATGTTGCAACCCCTAAGCTAATCCTAATCAATGAGGATGACAAATAACATAGGTGGGATACATGATTACTGTGACTTTTAAGTAAACACCTCTTTTGGTGAATTATTTTGATACAATGATAATTTCTAAATTATCTAGAAGTAAACTTATTAGAGCTTGTACTTTGCGTCAGGATTCATAAAACCTTCCAAATCAAAATTATCACCCTCCTCCTCCTCTTCCTCATCATCAGCTGCTTCATTTCCACTGTCTATTCGTTCAAAGATATTTCCATCCTCATCCCTGATATTGTCTATTTCATACCCATCATCACTGTATGGTTCAAGGAAGTGCACGGCTACATGTCGGTACAATTCAGAATTATTAGTAAATTTTAGACTACATTCACTGCACTCATAGGTACCTTTAACTGATAAGTTGTCAGAGGATGAAGGTCCACTTATTTGATGTAACCATTTGGGAAGATTTGATAAATGTCCTTTTACATGTTTCCAAAATCCGCTTCGTGTAGGGAAAAGTTGATCACACTTAGAACAATGAAATCGTTCTGTTTCTTGCAAATCCAGTCCTTCAGACGCTAGCAACTTATCAATATTTTCATTTCTCATCTTAGTATGGTGAAGCATTTTTCCTTTTAGGGTACTTTTGCAGACCCAACAATAACTTCTCACTTTAACAACATCTAAAATGTCAGGAGGCACAAGAACATCCCACATGCCCAGGTCACTATAGTGTTTGGAAATATGCTTACATAAACACAACGGGTTCTTAAATATCATACCACACACTTCACACATTTGAGGCTCTGTTATCATACGTGTTATTATATTCCTATGCACAGCTAAAATATGATTTATGGCACCATCCTTATCAGCAAACTTATTTGGACAATATTTACACTTTTGAGGACCTATTTTACACTTTGATGACTTGACCGTATCAGTTTGTTCTTCAGCTTCCAAGCTTCTTTTGTACTTCTTTGATAATTTTGATTTTCCATTATCATTTGTGTCTAAACATTCCTTATAATCAACTGTACCTCTACTACTTGATTTTCCCTTGTTTTTTGGCAGGGTTTCTTTTTCTGGCTTTATCCATTTGTTTAAGTCTCTCCTTTTCAGTAAACAGTTCTTAATATGCTCATTGTATTTTTTAATATTTGCAAGTATTTCATCACAATTACCACACACATGTACCGGTCTTCTTTCTGGTGGACAATTTTTGCACTTCTCAAGATGATTTATTAAATTACCCTCATACTGGTACTCAACTTCACAATACGGGCATTCTAGTTTCTTAACTACCTTTTTATGCACTTCTTTACAATGTGCAATATTTTCCGCCTCAGTGTCAAATAGTGCTGAACACTGGAACCGACAACGAATTTTGTTTTTATGGATTTGTTTCTGATGTCGTAGCAATTTATTAATACATTTATGGGAGACATGACAGGCTGGACAAGTAAATATCTTTCGATGTTTCACCCTATGATGTGCACGCAAGGCTTTTGTTGATTTACACATAGCATCACATAAATCACAAGGTATAGAAGGCTTCATACGTTTGGGTATATTTACTTGTTTAAATGATTGTGATTGTTTAGGATTCTGATGCACATTCACAGCATGATGATACAAGTCATTTGGGGTGTAAAAATTAAGGTCACAGAGTCCACACCTGAAAACTGCACAATCCTCTGCATGTAAAGAGCCTTCTTGGTCCATATCTGATTCTTGTTCATTCGAGCTCTCTTCCTTTGGTTCTTTCTTAATGTCAGGAAGTAGTGTGTCACCAGGATATGAATCTGAAAATGGTTTTGTTACTGGAGGCATAGATGGGGACGAAACTGATCGTTTCATTGAATGGTATGAATTTAATGTTGAGATTTCTTTCTTGCTGGCTGACTTCAAACTCTGTATACTGTTACCCTCAGATGATGCATCCAATTTCTTTTGAATAGCAGACATTTCCATTGAACAGATAGGTATAAGATTTTCTAGCTTTACATCCTGTGAACTAATAGATGGACATAATCCTCCTTCCCTTATCAAGTTGTCAATATCTTGTGTTAACAAGAAGTCATCACTGATTTTGTTGCTGGAGACCCCTAAATGCTGGGCAATATGTATTTTGAGCTGATATTTGTTCCTAGTTTCCTTATTACATAAGCGACACACAAATTGTCTTTTTTCATTAGTTGGGGGAGGATCCAAAAAAATATTGATAGGCTTGATATATTCATCCTCTCCTGGTTCAACATAACCTTTTTTTTCTTTTATATGCCCATGCTCCTGTTTCAAATGGTTCACTAATTTACTCTCAGAGTCATAATCTGTATAACAATATTTACAGGCATGGACATTGTGAATTTTTTTCTTGTGGATTCTCTGAGTAACATCTGTTGCAAAGAGTTCACTGCAAATATTGCATCTCACTTCAGGATTTGCTTTCTTGTGTGATATCACATGCATCCGAAATCTCTTGACATCTTTTGTCTTGAAGCTGCATTTGTCACACTGTTGCACTGGCCTGTGTATGCGTAGATGCTGAAGGTATTTGCTTGACTTGTTAAAAGCCTTACCACACTGTTCACATACCTTCTTCAGTCTTATCACACGATCAGGTTTCTTCACCCTCTTCCGAACCAGTACCGGTTTGGGTGACGGAGATGAAGTCGTCTCCACCGTGGGGGGGTCTGGGGGATCCTGGGGCTCAGGGGACGCCACGATGGGGGTATCCATGCCTGCAGGCACAATGAACTGTCAGCAAATATCTTTAACCAAGAAAAACACTGAAGGGTTTCAGTCCCTCACTGATAAGTGAATCCCATATGTTGGTCTCCATCAGAATTACTGTATCACAATCTCATGGCACTAAAAGCAAACACACACACACACAAAATAAAAGCATGAGAAAAACAATTTCCCTCTCCTTCTAGGTACTTAGTAATAATGCACAACATAAATTTTAAAAATCATATTTCAATATGCAGCAGTGCAGGTCTTGTACAGTAATCTTACAGAGTACACAAAATTATATTTAACGTGTTACACACTGTCACCAATTTATCAAAATTCTGAAGACATTTATTTTATGTAGATAAAAAGAAGTACAAATATAAATAATTCTTTAAAGAAACTTGAAATATATAAACTAAAATGTCTCAATTTCATTTAAATATTTTAAATACAATATATATTATACATCACAAAATTATTTTTGTCAAAAGCATTTCAAAAATATTTACATATATATCATAAAAAAAATACAAACCCACTCACAACTTGGCATGTTCTGAAGTGTTCATTTCACAGGAAGAAATTCCTTACTACACTACACAAATTATTACAGATATCCTACCTAAGATTTATGTACAAGTAGTAATATTGCACTATACAAGTCTTTACTAATGTCATGAGGTATCATCTGATCAAAAGACTATACAAATTTCATTTAAAATGAATCAAAACCTATTATTTTTGCAGGTCCACTTTCATCATCATCAGGTACAAAGTCACTTATCTCTTCACTGGGAGGGTACTGTGCACTATAGTAATCACCCATAATGTCCATTTGTGAATTATCATCTAAGCTAAACACTGAATCCTCTCCAACCATGTACCCAGGGTATGGCAGAGAATCCTGGCCCGAGCCAAGATGCTGCTCTCCAGATATTAATTCTGAACCCTGAGATGGATTCTGTCCACCTGATCCAGTACAAAGTCTTCTTCTCACTTTGGCAGAATTATTCTTTAGTTTCTTTTGTTTTGAAGTATTTTTGGATACTGATTTGGTAGCCTGTATCTGAGCTTTTAATGCTGCAGTCCAACTGAGATTAACTTTTTTGTTACTTTGGGGTTGTATGCATTTGTTTAACGGTGTTTTTGCTTGCTTCATATTTAGAGCTGATGCTTCAACTGATGAAGCATCTTCGGTTAGAAAAGCATCCAACTGAGAAGCACTATCATCCACTTTTTTTTTTATAATTTTTTCAACATTTAGCTCTTGACATTTATCAGTTATTTTAAAAATTTCCTCTACTGTATTATTTAATCTTTTCTTTTTTTCAGTTTCAGAATTTTCTGCATCTATAACATTTGGTTCACCAATGCTCCTCCTATCAACACTTTTTCTCTTTTCAAGACAATCTCTATCAAAGTATTTTCTTTTATCAGGGGCTTTTTTTTTTAATGGGATCAAGTCATCCTCATCTTCTGGCTCTTTGTAAGATATAGGTACACACCTAGCCCTCCTTTTTGAGGGAACATGCACTTCCTCATTATCATCACTGTCAGACTCTTCTTTTTCTCCAATTTTCTTTTTTTCATCATCGCTTTTATCCTCTCTTCTTTGTCCTTCTCTATCATCCTCCTCCTCCTCTTCCTCTTCCCCCTCCTCTTCTTCTTCCCCCTCCTCTTCCTCTTCCTCCTCCTCATCTTCCTCTTCTGAACCTTCATCTTCATCCTCACTAGGTATCTTTGGGTGCTTCACTGCCTGGTGCTTCTCAAGCTCAGATCTTTTAGCAAAGATTGACACACACCGTTGGCATCTGTATGGTTTGTTTGGATGTGCATTTTTCTGATGCTGTTTCAGTCTGAGCATTTTACGATATTTGGCCTTGCAGTTTGATTCTGGGCAGTGGTGAACCTTGTGAATGAGAACATGTCTATTGTATGGGCCACAGCTTCGAAAAATTTTGCCACAATGTTCACAACCTCTAAATGGGTACAGCGTTTCATGAATCTTCTTCATGTGATAAGTCATGGATTTCTCTCTATTGAAAGTAATATTGCACTTTGTACACCTAAATAAAGAACCAACTTTTAACAGGTAAGGTGGTCGTTCATTTTTCTCAACCTTATCTTTAGGTGGTGGTTCAGATTTTTCCTTTGGGGTTGGAATATGTTTTTCTTTGATAACTGCTTCCTCCACTTCCTTGGCAGGCACATCCTGCTTATCTCTTGTTAAATGATCTTTATTCTTTTCGAGATTCTCTCCACCTGTTCCCTTCCCCATCCCCTGTGGTGTGCTTCTCAGCACCCTAGCAGTCTCACCACTTATTTTATCTGAATGAGTTGGTATTTTTTTTTCTACAGGCTCTTCTGCACTACTTATAGTTTTACTTGCTAGTGTTTTTTTAACAGCCTGCCCTTTTCTTGTCACAGTATGTGAAGGCATGTGAAACTTAAGTTGGTACTCGCTACGACAAACTTTATGGCAAATTCTACAGGTTAGAGATTCTTCTTTCTTCTTTCTTTCTCTTTCTTTTCTTTCCTTTTCTTTCCTCAGCTCCTCCTCATCATCTTCCTCATCTTCATCATCTTCATCCTCTTCATCTTCTTTTTTTTCATTTTCTTCTTTAAGCTCTTCCTGAGCTTTAGCTGCCACTTGCGACCTTGTGGCTTTGGAATGTTCATTTTTTTTATGGTGGTTGAGCTTGACCAAGTGACTAAAACTCATATCACAAATATCACAGGAAAATTGTTTATCTTCCTTAACCTCTGATACTGAAGAGGATGTGGTGCTCTCATCATCGTCGTCATCTTCACCATCTTCCTCTTCCTCCTCCTCCTCTTCCTCCTCCTCCTCATCCTCTTCAGATTCACTTTCACTCTTTGTCTCCTCACTGTCCTCCAATTTCACTTGAGGCTTGCTACGGGTAACTCTTGTCGATGGTCTGGGTGGAAAATTTATCTTGGTCACTGTTGTTCTACAAGGCGGTTTCACATTCATTACTTTGCCATGTGAAACATTTTTAATGTTCTTAACATTGCCACTTTTATTAAGTGAACCACCACTTGCTGCACACTTTGGTTTTCCTTTCCCACTGACACTTGTGCCTTTCTCAGGTAACTGTTTTTGAACCTCACTATCTTTACTTGATTTCTTTTGATGTTTTTCTTTTTCAATTTTCTTCCTTTTCTGTTCTTCTTCCCTTGCTTTCTTCTCTTTCTCTTTTAATTCTTTTTCTCTCTTCTCTTTCTCAAATTTTTTTTCTTTCCCTTTCTTGTTCCATTTTCTCTCTCTCCAATCTCTCTCTTTCTTTTTTTTCTCTCTCCTTCATCTCTCTCTCTCTCTTTTCTCTCTCCCTTTTTTCCCTCTCTCTCTTCTCCTTTTCTTCTCTCTCCTTCTCTTCTCTCTCTCTCTCTTCTCTCTCTCTCTCTTCTCTCTCAACCCTCTCTTTCTCTTTCTTCTCCTCCTCTTCCTTCTCGATAGCCTCTTTTTCTATTTGCTTTTCAAGCTCTTCTACTCTTCTTTTCTCATCATCATCATCATCCTCACTATCCATTAACTCATGTTTCAGTCGCTCATGGTTTGTCAAGTGATGCTGTAGCTTAAAAGATTCCCCACATTTCTTACAATGAAAATGAGGCTGATCTTTGTGATTCTTGAGAATGTGGAATCTCATTCCATACTTGCTTTTCACTTTGATTTTCTCCTTACAAATGGGACATTGTTGCATGCTCCTGTGTTTATGTTTTATATGAGCAAGAAGAGATGCTCTTTTCCTAAAAACAAGGTCACAAAAATCACAGGGTAACTTAATTAGAAATCTTTTAAGAGAAGTATCTGTGTTTGGAGTATACTCTTCATCACTTTCATGCTTTATGAAGTGTGGTTGAGATTCAGTTACAATGTCATCGTCATCCTCCCAAGCCCTCTCATTTAGTTTACCTGAAATTGCCCTTTTCTTTCCATCACCTGGAGAGAAAACATCACGTCTTGACGAATCTCCGCCTATTTTGGCAGTTTTCTTTATATCATTTTTTATAAAGTTTACAGACTTGCTTAGTCTGAAGAGAGAGGAAAGAAAAAGATGATGGGGCGGAGTAGGGGGCCGGAACTTGATGGGCTCAGGATGACGCTTTCCTTGTGACCGGGCCTTTGAGGGGCTGCCTCTTGGAGTGTAGGGAGGGAATCCCCTTCGACTGGACAAGGGAGGGCGACCCCTCTTGCGTCCCCTGGGTGGTGGTGGTGGTGCTGGGGGCATGGCAGGGTATTGGGAGGGTTGGGGAGCCTTCCTCTGTAGCAGTAGTCCAGCGTAGTATTCCTTCCCTGAAGAAACAAGTCAAGTATTACCAACTGTTCATGAGGTGTTCCTCTTCAACTGAAGATCATACAGGTAGAATGGGGAGAAGAAGCCTTTGTCTCCTACTGCTGTTGAGAGGACTTCAACTGTGGCTAGAAAACCATTAGTTGACCACACTTGAAACGACTAAATGTTTTTAAACTTCAATTTTTTTCAGATGTTTCCACTGTTAAATAAAATATTATGCACTTTCTTTCTCAAAGACCATAGTAAAGCATTTTCAAGTATGAAAGTATATTGACCTTCAAGCTCCTCCAACCCCATTGAAATCACTTAAGAATATGAGAAGTTAAGTATTCATAACAAATAACCATTGTATAAGAAATATATAAATAAACTGATTCTAGGAAAGAATAACAATATTAGAATATTGGAGTGAAGGTAACACATTAAATTTTGCAGTTAGTACATAATGTAAATATCTCAGGCTTGTGTGAGAGCAACTGTTATTATCTATCACATGGGAACACAGTAAAGTGGATAAACACCGTTGCTGCCAATACAAAAACAACTATTCTGTAACAGTGAAACAATATAAAAAACAATTGCACATTTAGCATACAGCAGATTTATCCATACAATGGCTTATGTAAATTGTATAAAAATAGGTGTGATTGTGTGTATCAGTAGTAGTCGCAGCTTTACTGAGGTTT